ATGAATGGTGATTGTATTACTGTGAAGTTCCAAAGCTAAAGCGATTGTCGTGAATTCTTCTTTATTTTTTTTTTCTTTTTGGTTTTAATTTTAGTTTAATAAAACTTTATTTGCTGTGTCTTATGTGCGAAAATCGGATAATAAATAGTGCAGCCGTTTGCGTGAATGTATCTTGTTTGTTTGCGAACAGATCGATTTAACTATCAGATGTTTCATAAGAGTCACCGTTCATTTGTAATTTATACTTTTATGAACGCATCGAAAGAACCTGTAGATATTTATTACCTAATTTGTTGTTCATTTCTAAAGAGAATACCGTCCTTGTGTTATCTTTGTGTAAATTTCGTTTCTCTTTTCTTTTCTTTTTTTAGAGGGATTTTGCTTTTGAATTTTAATAGGAGAAAATTTAAGTAATTCTTCGAACGAATACTTCTGCTGGTCGATTTGCGTGTGTGTCATTAAAAGTAACGCGACTATAGGAACTTGCGTAAGCTTAGGCAAAATCTCTCGTTGTAGAGATGCATTTGCGTATTGGTTGTATATCTGTTTATAGTTTTCAACTCACTCACCCACCCCCCTTTTTTCAAGCTTAGATGGTTATTTTACAAAATACAAATCACTCAGGTGTCATGAGAATTGTAACTGAAGCAGTAAAGGGGGAAATATCACAAATCGAAATTTGGTGGGGTTAGAGGCTAAGTTGAAATTCGAAAATCCTGTCCGAAATTGAAACTGCGTTAGTAGTTTCTTGTTTTCTCTATCCGTTTTTGGCTCCTTCTGCTTTTCCCTCCTTTTATTTCCTCCTCCTCTTCTTTCTTTGTCGTCGTTCTCTCTCTCTCTCTCTTTCCCACTCTCTCTCTCTCTTTCTCTCCCCTCTTCCTTCCTTCTCGCCCTTCTCAAAAGCTATACATTTTTTCCGTTTTTGTCCCTTGTTGCTTCAGTGCCAACCTGAAAGTGAGGAAGGGGAAAGAAAAGATGACACACCCTCTCGACTACACCCAAGACTGGCTAGACAGTTGGAATCACCAACACCTTCAGTGGCCATTTCCGAGATTAATACAGGCACAGTCATTTACGGATACACGTATTTTTCATCGAGTTTTGAAACCAGTTCCTTTCCACGCCGACGAAATTAACGCAACGCCTGCTAAAAATTCTTTTTTTTTTTTTTACTTTCTTGTGTTTTTTTCTGCAATCTAATTTACTGCAAAGAATTTTTGAAACTTTTTCCGACCGTCAGTTCAAACTCAGTACGAAAAAAAAATATTAATTCGTTTTTATCCGTTTTTCTTTTGTTTGTTTATAGGACGAAAAGATTTTATTCTTTCTTTTGAAATATTAGATCGTTTTTCTCTTTAGATTTCAATCCTCTTATTTCAATTCCCTTATATACTGTGATTCCCTTTGGCTGAATATAGTTCAAGCCTCAGAAGCAGATTTTTTTTTCTTTTTCTCTTTATATATATATATTATTTTTCTTTAAATTGCATTTAAATTTTAGGTTTGGTCTCTTTTGCTTATATTTTTGTAAGTCCCTGTTTTGCTTCTATTTTTTTTGTTTTTGTTTTTTTAGCCGGTCCTTTTTTATTCCCTTTCAAAATACCAAGCGCGCTTTAACGGACTTGTCCCTTGAATCGAGCCCGGCATGCCAAAAAATTCCGATAGTGGTCTTGAAAAAAAGAATGCCTGTTGTCACAGCCAGAGTAGAGGGCTGGTTCCACATCTCTCGGCAGGCACGCTCGCTGCAACAACACAACCAAACTGTTGTGCACTCTCCCGCCTTCTTCAAGAACTGTCGTGGCACTGTGTACTAGCAGCAGGGCTAGTAACACGCATATCCACAACTATTTACACTTCCACTGCCACTAGAAGAATACCGCTGGTGGTTTTGATCTTCAACAGTATATTATAGTTTCTAGTAGTTGGAGTATAGCGAGCCGGGCAGTGGAATATGTGCAGTGGTGTTCCGGTAGATTGCAGTAGTGTGTCGAAGCGGCAGTAGTATAAATTGCAGCAGGAGTTTTTTTAGCCTGCTAGATGAGGCAGTGCATGCCTTTTTTGAAAGCCTTTATGAATTAAGGCATTCCTCATTACAAGAACAAAAATAAATTAAACGCGATCCAACAGTCGGAATAGCAACAGTAGAAGTAGCAGCAGCAGCAGCAGCGTCGGCTGAAGATGGAGATGAATGAAGATGAGGAAGACGTAACAGAATGAACTACAGCAGCAACAGTAGTAAATTTGGAATGGTTAGATAAGGTCGATGAATAGCTAAGAACGGTGTAGGGAGATTGCACGAGCCCGGACGGCAACAGAAGAAGCAGCAGGGAGACGAAAGAAAAGTAACAACGGTGAATGTAAATGGTATCAAGAGAGAGAGAGAGAGAGAGAGAGAGAGAAGAGAGAGTAAGAGAGTGAGAGAGGGGAGAGAATGAGAGTGAGTAGACTGGCAGTTGGCACTGTTTTCGTTGCAGTAGTATTTGGGAAATATCAGCTGCAAGAAGACAGAAGGCATGGTTGTTAGCAAAAGAAACAGCCCAACACGCAAATTACAAATCGGAGATACCAAAAATCAAACAAGTACAAATATTTAAATATCTGGGACGTGTTTAATCAGAGGACGAAATATGCGACTCTGAGATTCGAAAGCGAACTGAAGAAGCATTCCAAAAGCTAAGCTGAGTATTAAGAAATAGGAAAAAAAATTCGTTAGAAACTAAGAAAATAGCACTGAACTTGTTATTTGATATCAATCCTCTGAGATTAAGATACTTGAAGCAACAGAAATATGGTTCTACAGAAGGATGCTGAGGATACCACTTACTGAGCATGTGAGCAACGACAAAGTTCTAGAGAAAATAGAAATAAAAATGAAATTTATACATAACGTCTGGTAGATACAGTTGAAATTTCTACGGCATATAATGAGGAAAGGAGGCTTGGAAAATCTGTTGCTCAGAAGACAGATTAAAGGCAAGAGGAAAACAACGCATAGCCGTCTTTCTGAGATTGGGTAAATGGATGGTGGAACAAGGTTTAGGAGAAATACCAAAATGACAAAGAATTACGAAAGACGGGAAATTGTGGAGAGCCATAATTGCCTATTTTCTGAAGGGACACGACATATGGAAGGAATATCTGGGAAGGAGAGTGAGAAAGAGAGAGAGAGAGAGACGAATACTATGCAATATTAGTTGATGTACCCTTACGTAGTCCTTGTCAAAGACCCACCAGGTCTAGGGCGATCATGGCTCTCCACAACTTCTTATACTTTGTAGCACTCATTTTTTCTCCATCACTCTCCGTCCTTGATCTCTTGATCCATTAACACGAGCTCCTTAGGTAAATTACTCATTTTTTCTCTCTCACACTTCAATATTTCCGCTGTCTGGTCAAATTCTCTAAGCCTTCTTTTCTCATAATGTATCCCAGAAATTTCAACTTCCTCTATCTGATTCAAAATATTTCCATTTTCTTTAACACCTCCTCGTTACTCATACCTTGTGCTCATGGCATACTCAACATCCTTCTGTAGAGCAACACCTCAGTTGCATCAAGTTGCTTCTTCATTTGTGTGGGGACTGCCATATAGAAGGACTGATATAGCATAAGAGTCTAGCCCATTTATCTTCGATTCTAATAAAAAAATTTCCTGTTCCTTAATACTTTACATCGATTTAGAAAGGCATCTTTGTAGAAACTTCTATGTGCCGCGTTCCTTCAGGACGTAAGTGATCATGACTCTCCACTATTTCCTGTTGTTTTTCTAATATGTCCTGTGAGTCTCAAATTTTCCAAGCCCTATTTTCTCTTTATGTACCCTAGAAATTTCATCTGCCTCCTTTTGATGCTTCGTATAAATGTCCATTTTGTTTCCATTTTTTTATGAAACCTTGACGTTGCGCATGTGTTGAGCCCAGGGTTTTTCTCAGCATCCTTCTGTAGAACCATATTTCAGTTACCTCAAGTCTCTTCTCAATCTGTAATAAGACAAGCCAGCATTCACTAGCGATATTACAGAACAGTACAAGGCTTATAATATTAGCAAAAATAAAACTGATTCTAAACATAGCGGAATACGGATGAAAGTGTTGAAGAGACTTGCTGTCACTTGATCTAGCCTGATAACCAACCACTTACTACTGGTATAAAAAAAAAGTACATGATCACAATAATGGTGAGGAGATTACTGGGGGAATTTGTGGAGATTTGCTGTCACTTGACCTAAATTAAATACTACTTGTTTTGCATTGGTATGAAAATTCAATAACTACAAATAGTAATAAAGAGTGCTGATTAGGTTACTGGGAGTACTGATGGATCCTCTCAGACGCTCGCCAAGTAAAAGTGTTTCCAAATATCTGCATCATCCTTCAAACTTAAAAAACAAACTCTCGACACCAAAAGTGGATGGTCCTCCACTACTCCCGGTCATGAACAGAGATGCACAGTTTGTCAGCCCCTAGGGGACATGGTCAGGAAACTAACGAATAAATTATGCGGTACTGAATGGGACATTTATTGGAGCCTATCTTATTTTAACGAAGACAAAATTTACATGTTATCACCTCCAATGATTAAAAGCCATGAGAGCCATCCCTGTCGTAACATCAGGAAATTATTATTATTATTATTATTAGTATATGTGTATGTTATGTTTCCTGCTTTGTATCCTTTAGAGACGGGTCCAAAGTATGGCACTTAGGTCCTAAAAGGCAATTGTTATTTAATTGAGAGCACTTTTCTTAGTATATAGTGTTCCTAGTAGGGTGTTCTTCTGGGAAACTTGAATGTTGATGTCACCTAGGACACTGTTAGTATAATTGTCCATTCCTTTTCAAACAAGGCCAACTCAGTCTTCGTTCCCCGCATCCTGTTAATCTTGATCTCTAGGTCCTTATATTTGGACAACTTCTCGATAATTTTCATTTCTTGTCTTTTATGATAATATCAGGTCTGTTGGCTTTTATTTCCCTGTCAGTTTAAATTGGCATGTCCCAGAGGATAGTTACATCGTTATTTTGGGTAACTGTGTCTGGTTGGTGGATATACCATCTCTCAGTGGTTTCGATTTTGTGCATCTTGCATATCTTCCAGTACGCATATGTCGCTATCTTGTTATATTTGTGGGTATATTCATTTTTTGCTAGTTCAGAACATCCTGAGATAATATGGACGACAGTTTCAGTATATTTTCCGTAGATCCTGCATTTCGGGTAAATACCAGCCTTGATTATGTGACATTGTTAGGATCTGGTTGCGATCATTTGGTCCTGAGCTGTAATAATTAGGCTTTCTGTCTCAGCTTTCAGCCCAGTTATTATTATTATTATTATTATTATTATTATCATTATTATTTTCTTTGATTTCTGGCGTTTACACATTTCTTTCCGGGTCCCGCCCAGGGACCTAAAGTTAGAAATAGCATCATGACACTTTCCACTGACAAAAAAAAAAAAAAAATTACATCGATAAAGCCCTTCATAAAGTGTGGGCTGTACTTGTCAGAACAATTTTTTGTATCTCCTTGAGGCATGGACTTCCAGGAATCTCTTCAATTAGTCTACTGCAATCTTTTCCAACCAGTCCTAGGGCTCCAACTACAACAGGGATTGTTGATGTTCCCATATGCCACATTTTCGAGATTTCTATTTCAAGGTCCTTGTATTTTGACAACTTTTTGAATATCTTCAAAGATACATTGCAGTCAGCAGGGACTGCAATATCAATAAGGAGGCACTGTTTTTGCTTGTGGTCTTTAATAACGATATCTGGCCGGTTGGCCTTGATTGTTCTGCCAGTGTGTATTGTGTAGTACCATAGAAATGTAACAGGTCCTATCTCCGTAACCAGGTCTGGGTGGTGTTCATACCAGTTTCTTTCAGTTTCCTTCCCGTAGAAGTTGCAGATTTTCCAGTGCAGATATTGGCCCACTCTGTCATGCCGGGTTTTATATTCAGTGGGTGCCAACATTATTATTATTATTATTATTTAAGCCACTTCTTGCCGACAATCAATTGAGTACAATTAACTGAGTGATCTGGGTTTTTTTGGGGGTTTTTTTTATAGCTTATCAACCCTTTGTGGGTTATTGAAAGCTGAAACTTATTTTGAGGATAAAAATGATTTTACAAGATAAAAGTTCTAATATTTAACCCATTGCTGGGGGAGGTGGTAGATTCCTACATTTCCGAGAGTATTTACACATATTTGAATGTAATGAACTTGACTGGGATTCGAACTCGTTTCTCTGATTTCCATTCCACCCCCAATTGAGTACAAGCCTCTTCCAGCATTCAACATTTTGCTTTGCATTTTCTTAGATTTTAGCAATCCTGTGGTCTCTTCCGAAAGAAAGAACTGAGATAATACAGTCATTGCGGAACTTTACCAAACCATTTTCCAAAAGACCTTGATGTCATTCCGAATTTGCCGATAAAAAAAAAAAAAAACTACATTCACAATGTTCTTTTGGATTTCTCATGCAAGATCCTCATATTTTTTTCTAATTCTCAATCCCTTTCATCTTTATCCTTTTTCTTTTTTTTTACCAATTAGGCCACAGTGGCTGTCATATTTGGGAAGGAGAGGCCTAGTCCTTACTTTCCAGTCTCGACAGAATCCAACTACGCGCCCTCGTGGATGACAAATTATTTTCCACTCTTCAAGCCTTCTCTTACAGACGAGATCTCACGAACCTATCACTACTCTGTCGCTACTTCCATGGAAACATCTCAGACGAACTACATACCATAGTTTAAGTAACCTTCACGGCTATGATCCGCCGTGCTACAGACATTGTAGGGAACCATCT